CTCCTGGTAAGTCCTGAAGGCTGAGGGCTGTGAGCTGCACGGGGGCAGAGGGGCCTCAGGAGAGGCTGGGGAGGACAGAGGGACGGAGAATGGCAGAGAACCCAGGAGAAAAGACAAACGGTCAGCTGGATTGGGTGCAGCCGAGGGCGCGGGTCGGGCGGGAGCCCCCCACTCGGTTCCGGGGCTCGGACCCAAAGATGACTTTCACCACCTTGGTTGTCCTTCCCTGGGTGGTGCAAGCCCATCCCCGGGGTTCACAATTGGCTTCCGTCTAGGGACTCCGTCAAGTTCACTGTCTGATGTGGGGACAACAGGTACTCAAGGGCATGAGCTTATTTGTTTGGCCTCCAGCTTGGAGGACAAAATGCCCCAGCCCCGAGTTATCACCACTGAGAGCTAGAAAACCAGCAACGGCCCGGAGCCCGCTGGGTCCGGGCGGCAAGGCAGGTGCAGCACCCAATGGCCTCATTCCTGAGTAGAAAGCTGCCAGCCTCCAAGAACCAGTGGGGCAAGATTGCACTTCGAGGGTGGGGTGATACTGGTCTCCGCCCTCACACAGGACAGGTAGCTACCTTGGAGTATCTGCTTTCAAGACCCAATAAAAAAGCTTCCCTGAAATGGAAACACTAAAAATACCGATGAAGGAACAACCTCCTGCCTTGAATTCTTCCCGAAGTGATTGGGGGATCCGGGACCGGGGTCCGGCGTCCCCTCCACCTAGTACGGGGCCAGCTCCTCACTCTCTGGGGCTCGGCGGCCTGGCGTGTACATTGGGGATCATGATGTTCACTGTCCACAGTTGCTTAAGGAGTAAATGGGAGAAAGTGTGCGAGAGCCTGGCATATGGCAGCTGATATATAGTAACTGTCATGATGGAGATTGGCAGCTTTAAGCACACGTCCCAAGAAGAGAAATTTCTTTTTTTTTCTTTTTCTTTCTTTTTTTTTTTTTTTTGAGAAGATAAACTTCTCCCAGAGGGCTCATCCCCCAAGCCCCCGGGAAGCCCCAAAGTCCAGTCCTAACAGCAGCGGGTCTGCCCTCGACCAACCCCTCCACTGTCCCAAGTGACCCTTAAGGGAGGGATGTCCAGGTGAGACTCTCTGGTGTCCAGGCCTCTGGGAGAGGCCACTAGGACCTTTTTTTGCAGCATGGAAGGGAGTGTGGCCCTTCAGAGGAGTTTGGGTGGCTGAAGGAAGCTGCCGAGGACAGTGCTGGCATCTGCTTTTGCTCAGGTCACCATCTCAGGATCCAGCCCTGAGTCCTGTCACCCTGCTCAGTGGGGCATTTGCTTCTCTCCCACCCTCTGCTCTCACCCCTCCAACTTCCCTGCTTGTGTGCTCTCTTTCTCTCTCTCAAATAAACAAATAAAATCTTAAAAAAAAAAAAAAAAACAGTTATCATCAGGGCACTCGGGTGGCTCACTGGTTGAGCCTCTGCCTTCAGCTCAAATCGTGATCCCAGGGTCCTGGGATCAAGTCCTGCATCGGGCTCCCCTGCAGGGAGCCTGCTTCTCCCTCTGCCTGTGTCTCTGCCTCTCACGAATAAATGAAAAAAATGGAAAAAATGAAAAAAAGTTCTTAAGAAAACCCCAAATAATTATCCTCTCACTGTGTACACAGGCCTACATCCTGCTCTTTGCAGGAAGCAGAACTTTCCTATGACTTTCTTGTTGCCTCTGGATTCGGTCCCAACCTCCCTGAAAAGAAAGCAAACAAACTCCACCCTCCAAAGCTGACCCAACCCAGCCCTAAGCCAGCCGGACTCCTCACGGGGCTTACTCAGAGGCCAGACACACTTCACCTGCCTCTCCCAGGGCTTTGGGAGAGTGTTTCAGGCCTTAGAACTCAGCAGGGGGGTAGGGCACAGGTTTGTCACCTGGGCGGGGATGTCAATATTCCACTCCCAGAACGGTATATTGAAAGGATCTCTGACACCTGATATCTTTTTTTTTTTTTAAGTAAGCTGTACGCCCAGCATGGGTCACCAACCCATGACCACGAGACCAAGAGTCACACGCCACCACCCACTGAGCCGGCCAGGGGCCCCCCAGCTTCCGGTAACTTCTCATAATGGCATCCCTGAAATCCTAGGTTCTTTTTTTTTCCTTTTTTTTTTTTTTAAGATTTTATTTATTTATTCATGAAAGACACACACATACACACACACACAGAGAGAGGCAGAGACACAGGCAGAGGCAGAAGCAAGCTCCATGCAGGGAGCCCGACGTGGGACTCGATCCCAGGACTCCAGGATCACGCCCTGGGCCGAAGGCAGGCGCTAAACCGCGGAGCCCCCCAGGGATCCCCTGACATCCTAGGTTCTTAAATTTCAGGAAAGTTTTCAGCGTGGCTTAACTTACAGGTTCCCATCCCCGTCAATAACAATGACTGTCATGAACTGAAATCATAGCTAAAGCGCTTGAAATGCGCCAGCTCGGAGTGAGGCGATTGGCAGGTACAGTGTCTTCATTCCACGGCGTCCAACGCAGTGGGCTTCATCTCCCACCTCACAGGCGGGGAAGCCAAGGCAGCGCGAGGAGGCACAACAGATGGTGTCAGAACTCAGCCCTGGCGTGTGTGTGTGTGTGTGTGTGTGTGTGTGTGTGTGTGTGAGACCAGGACGTCCCCCTCCCTCTTCAGATAACCCTCCCCTCCCTGGACTCCTGACCACAGGCCCCATCCAACCCCACCACATCCCCTCCCCACCCCCCCACCCCCAACTCTGGGCCCTTCCTCTTCATCCCCACCCTGTCCTGCCCAACTGGGAGAGTGGGTGACACCTGGGGTTTGGGTCTCCACCGGCCTCTCCTGTTTCAAGAATTCCTTCTTCACAATCACACTACTTCCTTCTCTCTGGGTCCTATTGTCAACAGCTGTTTGGATTCAGCTGTCAGCGTCAGGGCCACGCGGGGTCACACTGCTGCTCACACACCCCACCTTCCTGGTCTGGAAGGCCTCCTCCTGCCTCATTTCTCTTTCATTTGGTTGGCGGGCGTCTTGAGGAAGAGCCTTGCCAGGCAGGCAGGGCCCACTTCTGCACCCCGCACTCTCCTCACTTCCCTCCCCCGGGGGTGGCGCTGGTGGTAGACAGAGTCTGGGACCAACCCTCTTCACCTCGGACCTGCTGTGCTTCTGTCTTCAGCCCTTCGGTGTCCTAGAGATGAGCCCATGTGGGCGGATGCAAACAATTTTTGTCTTCAGAATTCCTAAGTACCTTTTGAAATAATCCCACCCAGCCCCTGGGGAGCACTTGTGATCCGACGTCTTCAGCTCAGCGAACACTTGTTTCTCTGAACCCTGCTTCGCCTCTCCTCTCTCGTCCTGAAAGACAAGATCTCATGGATTTCCCCTTGGTCTCTGGGTCGTAAATTCTGCCTTTCATGGTTGTTCCCTCCTCGGGGCCCTCTCGCTCTGGGGTGGCAACAAGAACCCGAGTTCCGTTGAGCTGCTAATCCAGCGCTGGCATCAGGCTTTAAGCTCCGTCCTTTCTGCCATTTGTGGTCTCTACTCAAGTGTTTCTTTTATTCTCAAAAATCATGGCTTTTGCTCCAAGAATTCTTTGAGCTCCAATTGCTCATTTAAACACACACACACACACAGAGAGTAAAATCTGTTTTTCCCTTCACATGAATAGCTTCTGAAATTTCCCTGGGGGGGGGAAATTAGCTCAAAATTAGCTCAGAAATATTGGCTCAACGGCCCCTTTCAGCCACTGACTCTCTTTGTGTGTCCAGGAGCTTCTCCTTGTCTGCGCACACTTACAAGCCAAAGCTCGGCCTGATGAATTCCGGTGGCTGGCATGGGCTCTCTCTGTAGCCAGTTGAGTGGGAGTCCTCAGGAGAGAGCAGAGAATGAAATTGGAGGTGGGGGTGAGCTGACATGCTTCCTCTTGGAAATGGTGCAGAGGCAGGATGGGGACAGGTGGGCAAGAGCTAAGAGCCCGCTCGCAGGGGGTGGCTGCCGTTTTGAGCCAAGTGGGTGGCTGTGAGCCCTTGAGTCTGCAGGCAGAGGCTGCCGGTCACTCTGTGTGCGACTCTCTGACGAAATTGCTCAGATTTCTCATGAGTACTCCCATAACCGCTCCCGGTCTGCCCACCCACCCTTCCAGCCTCGGTGCTGATGGGACTTCAGGGGTGTGTCTCTAAGAGGTCAAAGGAAAGCCGGAGAGGCTCATGGCAGGGCATTTTGACTATGGCATCCTAAAATGAACTGCAGACACCCGCCCCCCCAACCTCTCTGGGTCCTTGCTTTTCTGTAAGAGCCCTGCCAGACCAGAAGTCCCACCCCTCCAGCAGGCAGCCCCCAGGGGCGAGCAGGTCAAAGGCTAGGTTTGGCTGCTTTTCAGACAGGGGGGTCTCCAAAGCTCCCTTGCCATCCCCTCCTCCAACCTCCCCCAGAGGACCCACTGTGGGCTGCTGTACCCCTCAGCTTGTAGGTGGGCGGTGGGGTTGTGTGCCCCATGCTTGAGGGGCAGGTGGTTTCCTAGCCTCCAGCGGAGATGGGACGGGGCGACACTGGACCAGCCAGGGGCTCCCAAATCCCGCTGAAGCCCGAGAACCACAGGGGCAGTAGTGACAGTGCAGAGGCTGGCGACTTCTCTGCACTTTCTTCCTTATTTGTCACCTTCCCTGTGTCCCTTCTGCGTTCTCTGTGTCTCCAACACACTCATAAATCCACACAGAGGACAGTCCCATTCTCCAAATGGCCCCTGTCCAAACAGATGCTGGAATTTGTCTTCCTCCAGACTTTTACCAGGAAAGGGACGCAGTCGAGGCTTTCGGGAGGTGACCAAAATAAATACAGGACATTAACGAAGAGGTGTGTGCAGCCGAACGTGTCATCTGGGGGCTGCCAAACCGCTTCTCATTCCGCCACTCTGGGACTCGACTCCACCGGCCTTGGCATTATTATCAACTAATTCTGATGATGTAAAATTCGAAGTACGCGGGACTGCTGTGGACTCCAGAAGGATGCTAACTCCGGGAAGGAGGATCCCCCGCCTCTCACCTGTGGGGTCTTAGCCAAATGACTGCCAGGCTCCAGAACGAGGACAAGAAGTGGTTCCCAGAACGATGAGAATGACAGAGCAGCTCCATTACAGAGAGAGAAGGAGGCCATTCACACCAAGCTCTACAGGTGAGGAAGGATGACGGTGCAGGTAGGCACCTCCAAAACCCCAACAACACGCAGCTGAGGGGCCAAGTCTTAAAATCCAAGACATTTTCAGGGAAGCAAATGTTAACCCAATGACTCCTATGTAACGAGCATGCCCATATGGGTTACTCTATGTCCCTGACCATCATGATGGTAAAATACGCTCCTAGGGGTACTGGGGGGCTCAGTCAGATAAGCCTCCGATTCTTGGTTTCAGCTCAGGTCATGGTCTCAGGGCCAGGAGACAAGGCCCCCGATGTACTCCACACGCGGTAGGAAGTCCACTTGAGATTCTCTCTCTCCCTTTCCCCGCTCCCCTAATTCATTAATTAAAAAAAAAATACACACTTCAGCGGAAAGAACCATTATTTCATGAACGACTAAGAAAAGGATATGTTGGGTGCCCGGGTGGCTCAGGGGTTGAGAGTCTTGCCTTTGGCTCAGGGTGTGACCCTTGGGTCCCGGGATCGAGTCCCACATCGGGTTCCCCTCATGGAGCCTGCTTCTCCCTCTGCCTGTGTCTCTGCCTCTCTGTGTGTGTCTCTCATGAATAAATAAACAAAATCTTTAAAAAAATTTTTTTGAAAAGGATATGTTACCATTAACCCATGACAGGATACTCTCTTATCACTCAGGATTCCTGTTTTATAGAGAATTGTAGCCCTATTTAGACATTCCTGTGTGAACCTAAAATACAGGTGAATAGACTGGTAAGTTATTCTCAAAATTTTTCATATTCTGGCCCATTCTTGGACTTGTAGTGGTCACTATCCATGTTTTCGATATAAATATCATCCTCTGTGCCAGTAAGGTGTGAGGTGATCGCTTCCTGAAAGTGGTGTATCTGTTTCCTCTTGCTGCTGTAACAAATTTCCGCGAACTCAGTGGCTGAAACACGTGGATTTTATTATCTGACGCCTGTATGTTAAGAGGTCAGAGGTCTCACCTGGGCCTCACTGGGCTGAGGTCAAGGAGTAGGTGGGGTTGCTTTCCTTTCTGGTGGCTCGAGGGGACAGTGGCATTCCTCATCCTTACAAATTTCTCAGGCCACCTGCATTCCGTGGCTCATGGCCCTGTCCTCCCCTTTCAAAGCTAACAAAACCCCATCCCTCTGGCCACAGCTGGGAAAGGTTCTCTGATTTTAAAGATGCACAAGATTAGACTGGGCCCAACTGGATAGTCCGGGATACTTTGCCCATCCCAAGGGCCTTAACTTAGTCACACCTGCAAAGTCCCTTCTGGCACAGAAGGTAACTTACAGATCCTGGGATTTGGATGTGGGCATCCTTAAGAGGCCATTATCCTGCCTCACACAAGTGGTTCCCTCCTGGGGTCTCCAGGAGACTCCCAGCCCCAGACACCTTCTTGTAAGCATTCACACTGGGCTTTCTTGAAAGTATCAACAGAAAGTTTGAGACAAACCCCAGACACACACGTTTCACAAATGATCCTTCAATCGTTTGGTTACAAGTGTTGAGGGGGAGTGGCTTTCAACCACGGCACCAGGAATACCTGTCAAATACATGCCTTCACAGGTAACGAAGCCTGCGTCCTGGCTTTGGAGTGGTTAAGTGTGAATAGACTCAAGGGGCTATGGGATATAATTGAATTGTTTTTTTTTTTTAAGTAAAGATTGTATTTATTTGAGAGAGAAAGGGAGAGCACAAGTGAGGGGAGGAGCAGAGGGAGAGGGAGAAGCAGACTCCTTGCTGAGCAGGTGCCTGACCCAGGGCTCCATCTCAGGACCCCGGGATCATGACCTGAGCTGAAGGCAGACGCTTCACCAAGTGAGCCACCCACGTGTCCTGGGATATAATTTGATCCTAACGAGGAGCCCACTAAAGCAAGTAAATAGGCCATGCTGCTGCACAATGGGACCCCATTCGTGCTGAAGCTCTGAGAACACCCCATGGAGGTGGGCAGCAGACACACGTGGAAGGGAATCCAGGTGAGAGCACAGGAAAGGTGATGGGCACAGTCCCATGGTCTGAGGCAGAATGAGCCGTTCATCCCGGGGCTCCGGGCTCAGGCCGGTGCAGTGGCCATTGGCTGTTCCCTCCGCTGGCCGAAAGAGCGGGGTGCGGTGGACAAACCACTCGGAAACCTCCGTGATTTGGAGCCCACCTCTCCAGGCAGAGCCTTGCGGGGTGGCCCCAGCAGGTGTAGTGCTCCCCTGATGGGCCCTGTGTATCCAGCCGCCGTGTTCCTGAGAGTGGCCAGGCTTCCTGCACAGGGGGCCCTACTTCTAATGCAGGAAGGGTACTTGGTATTTAACGGGAAGTCGGACGGAGGTGAGTCCTATTGCCCTCTGTCCTAGAACGTGCCTGATTAGTCATTTTAAGAAGCAGCCTGGCTCAGGTAAAAGGACACGGGCTCCGGTGGCTGTCTGACCGAGTGCAGATCTGGCTCATCATTACGCGCAGGGCCCCTGGGCAGATCTTCAGTGCCCTGTGCCTTGGCGTCCCCTTGCCGGAGGCCTGCCTGCCCCCGAGTGGCAGAGGATGGGAAGCAGTCAGCGTCCAGGAGGTGCTGGGAGCTCGGCGCTGCTGTCCCTCCAAAAGTGGGGACCGCTGCCAGCCCCCAGCTTCTCACTGTCCAAGAGTCAGAACGAGCAGGGTTTGTGACATCACCGTGCAAACTCAGTGGCACGGGGACGGCCCCCAGCAAACGGAAGGAATGCACGTGTCTGGAGAGCACCCGTGAGTCCTCCTCCCTCCACACCAAATGCTGACTCCACCCTCTCTGTGCCCCTTGTCACCTCCTCACGGGGTCTTGCCGCAGCATCCTAACTGGTCTCCCCTTCATGGGCTCACCCCCACCCATCCGTCCTCCACCCAAGCCGGAGTGGTATTTCCAAAGCAAAGATGTATCTCTGGTACGTGTCCTGCTACACTGTCATCTCTGATGGAAGGGGCCATTCGTCCCACGTGGCTCCAACTCTGATGTGGTCAGTGGCACAGAGAAAGGCTCAGCTTGTCTTGAAACGAGCTACAGGGATGTTGCGTGTAGGACTGCCTGGTGGCTTCACCTTCTGTATGCTCCCCAGGCGGGTGTTCCCGGGGGGTCCTCTCCAGCTGGACACGCTGTGATCCTTCAGAAAGGGCCGCATTGAAGGGGTGCTAAGGAGCACAGGCTCTGAGGTCCCCAGGATCTGAATTCCAGTCCCATTACTCAGCAGTCAAATAACAACTCTGTGCCTCTGGTTCTCATCTGTAAAATGGGAATAATAATGATACCTACTAACAGAGTTATTAATAGGATTATACATTTCACTGAGAATACTGACTGGCATGTTCTCTATTAACCTATGTTATTTTGAAATAAATCTCATTACATTTATAAATATTGCAGCATGTCTGCCCTAGATCATACCTCTTATACACATACACACACACACACTCAATGCCATTATTTTTTTTAAATTATTTATTTATTCATGAGAGACAGGAAGAGAGGGAGGCAGAGACATAGGCAGGCTCCCTGTGGGGAACCCAATGGGGGACCAATCCCGGGACTTGGGATCATGAGCCAAAGGCAGATTCTCAACCACTGAGTCACTCAGGTGCCACTCAATACCATTATTACACCTAAAATTATTATTATTATTTTTTGACGGTCACATATCTGCCTTTATTGGGAGCAGCAGGTGGGACACTTCCAGCAATAGTAAAAAAAAAAATAATTTACAAAAGCAGGAGTTCAGTGAAGCCACCTGGTTGGAACCCTTGGGAGCTCATACGAATACATCTAAAATTATTAATAATTCCATAACATCCAGCCAGTGTTCAAATTTCTCTAATTGTCTTGTAAGTAAATTTTCCTTTTCGTTCAATCAGGATTTCAATATGATCCTTCTAACACAACTGATTGATAAGAGTCTTGGGACTCTTTTGATCTATAGCAAAGGTTGGCAAACATTTTCTGTAAAGGGTTGGATGGTAAATATTTCAGCCCTCAAAGCCAAATCGTCTCTGTTGCAACTACTTAGACAAATGGGCATGGCTGTGTTTCAATAAAGCTTTATTCACACAAACAGGCAGCAGGGCTGAGCTGGCCCAGGATGTAATGTGTCAATCTGTGACACAGAAGCTTAGTCAGATTCAGGTTTGATTTTCTGGTGAGAACATTTCACTGGTAGCATTCTGGACTTCCATCAGGAACCACAGAATGTTGAACGGTCTCTTGTTTTGTGTGCGAAGTTATCAGCCATGTATGCTCAATGCCTAGATCTATGAATTCATGAGGGGCTGCTCAGTGGCAATATTCCAATCCCATCATTTTTTCTTCATGTATTAGCTGTAATCCTTCCATAAAGAGAAATTTCCCCTCATCAATTATTTGGTTCTACCGAGGTAGAGTTTGCACAGGAAAGTCAAGATAATAAATGCTTGATTCTTTTCATTTTTCTTCCACTTTTAAAAAATAATGCGATGGGCTCCTTAGCAGCCTTCAGAAACAATCAATGTACTTTTTCAGAGGACATCATGAACGAATAGGTTTCAACATAATTGAAGTGTTTTGGACCATTATGGTTACTACCTTTAATGATGTTTGAATTGTCCCAGCTCTGCCCCAGCTCTGGACAGGGCTTCCAGAGTCTTTGATAACACCCTCGCTTTCTGGTATGACAAGATGTTCTAGGGTCACCTTGCTTGGTTTCTTCCGTGGACCTGGAACCCCCCTTCTCTGGGGAGCCAAGGTTTGCTTCATGGGGAAGTGATATTTAGAAGCCCTAATGCAGGCACTATGGGTGCTCATTTGTGTGTAGACCTATCCAGTAGACACAGCAAGGCTTATTATCATTTTTTAAAAGATTTTATCTATTCATTTGAGAGAGAAAGAGAGAACTCAAGCAGGGAGAGCAGCAGAAGGAGAGGGAGAGAGACTGGGAGACAGCAGACCCCTCGCTAGGTGCAGAGACCAGTGTGGGGCTGGACGTCACCACCCTGAGATCATGATCCAAGCCGAAACCAAGAGTCAGATGCTCAGCCCACTGAGACACTCAGGTACCCCGAGGCATTTTTTTTTTAAATATGAAAGATGTCAGGAATACTTACTGAAATTTCCAAACCAATTCAGGACCACGCAGCTCCTGAATCTCTTCAGTCTGACAACTCACCCTCTTTCTTCCACAGTCTACTTCTTGGCTCACCTGAGGAGCTTTCAAACCAGCAGTTCTGGAAGCTGGCCCCAAATCGTCTGAATGGAAAGAGGTGCAGGCAGGATCCCCCAGGTGATTCACTGAGCGGCCAGGCTTGGCTCTGAAGAACCAGCATGGAGTGCTGCCCAGGGGCCGGGTAGGAATAAAGACGGAGAGATGTCTACGTGTCCGACCTTTTGGGAGTTGGGTTTTGTAGGGTGCGGAGTGACTGAAGGCGGAGGAAGTCGAGGTAAGGAGGGCAGGGAGCTCTTTCATCAAGTGTGGCTATAAGGGGAGGAAGATAAGGGCCAGTAACCGGCAGAAGTGGGATGAAGATGGTTTTAAAAAAAGAGAAGTGGGGGCTGTAAGCATGTTTGCTAAGTTTCTGGGAAGGAACCAGGAGGCAGGCAGAAAATGAAGCTACAGGAGAATAAGGAGATGAGCTGATAAGCTTTCACGGAGCTAGCTGCAGGTGGCTGGTGTCCTCCTCTTGCTAAGTGTGGGAGGCAATCAGATAGAGGAAGGAGCCCTTTGATTGAGTCTGCAAACTTAAGAGCAAGGACCAGATCTTACTCCGCCTTTCCCTCCCAGTCGCTGACACAGTGCCTGATAGAGAGGAGTCATTATCTGTTGAAAATGTAGATGCAAACGTAGAAACCAAAGATAGTACAAAGCAGCCGTTCTCCAAGTATGATCTGACCCTTTCAGAGGGCCTTCTAGCGCAAAACTATTTTTATGATGATTCTAAAGTGTTGTCTTTTTCACTTTCGTTCAGTTCTATGTGCTGGTTAGAATTTTCCTCAGGCTTCCTAACAGACTGAATGCAGAAGCATATATGAGAACCCCGCTACCTTCCATTAAGCCAGATAAAGAGACTTGCACAAATGCAAAATAGCCATTCTTCTCACTTTTTGAAAAGATTAGTTTCCATTGAAATGTTATTTTAATGAAATGGGTTGTTGTATAATGGGTTTATTACATTATTTTTAAATGCATTTCTGCATATTAAAATTTCTGTTTTAATTTCTAATTTGGTAACTATTCGTAGATATGATCTACTTAAGTAAAAACTCCTTGGGGTCCTCAATCTTTTTTTTTTTTTTTTAGATTTTATTTTTAAGTAATCTCTATATCCATCGTGGGGCTTGAACTCACAACCCTGAGATCAAGACCTGAGCTAAGATCAAGAATGGGACACAACCTACTTAATCTAGGTGCCCCATGGCTGTCCCCAATTTTTAAAAAGATTTTTAATTTATTTATTCATGAGAGACAGAGAGAGAGAGGCAGAGACATAGGCAGAGGGAGAAAGAGGCTCCCCCTCGTGGGAAGCCTGATGTGGGACTTGATGCCCGGACCCTGGGATCATAACCTGAACCAAAAGAATATGCTCAACTGCTGAGTCACCCAGGTGCCCCATGGCAGTCCCCAAATTTTAAGAGTTAAAGGGTCCTGGGACCCAAAAGTCTGAGAACGGCTGGTGTAAAAGGACTCAGAGCTAGTGCAAGAGCCAGTGAACATAAACAGGCCGATGACAATGTTCCTGGCCAAGCACCACATACTTTTGCAATGAGTCCCTGGCTTGTTCCTTGGATGGGAGGTGAGACCCGTCCTCACCTTCAACTGTCCAGGGCAGTTCTTGGTGAGGATGTTTGCTCTTTACAAGGAGGATGGGCCAGTCTCAGCAAGGAGCCCTCAGTGCACGGTGGGGTGGGGTGGGGTGCGGGCGGGGGAAGCGACATTTTGAAGAGGATGCAGGGGTGCTCTAGGGGTGTGAGGGGTCCACCTTCTCCCCACTGCTTACGAATGCTATGGGAAGTGGCTTCTTAGATCAGTGTTTCCAGACGGATGTCAAGGGCCTCTAAGGCTGCCCCCTGGGAGGCCTGCCCCATGGGTTTGAGTGAGAACACCTGGCAGGTAAAATGATTGCCTCCCAGGCCCAGCCAGCACCCTGGTTCTGAGGAGGGGTCAAGAACCCGGAGACCATTCATAAAACAGCCAGCCAGGGGGACAGTCATCAGATGCTGTCACTTCAGCCCTATTATTTTCTGATGAGACAGCTCTGTCGTCCATTAAAACTGCATGAGCTCCTCTGTGACTCTATCTTAATGCATCTGTTCTCCGGTAAACCTAAACTAGCCCTTTCAAAATGAAAAGCTCACACTAGGTGGAGTCAGGCGTTCCATGAAGGACAAACCTTAATTAGACTTGATTTTTCAAACGTTCCCCTGTGGTGTTTAATTATTAGAGCAAATGTCTCTAATGTTGAACTTCAGAGTCATGCAGCCCCTATGCCAACGTCCTTAATAAATTCCATTTGTTTTTTTTTTTTTACAAGGTTGTGTTCTCCTGAGAACTGTCTGCACGTCTCTCTGAACCCCTCACGACTGGACACTAAGGAGTATAAATAACCATTCTTTAAAAATTATACTTCCTCTCCAACCTTGAATTTGAAATGTGAATATATGAATATAATAGCTCTGGAATTACTATGCAGATTTATGAGGATAACGATTTAGGTTACATCACAGGCCCGGCTAGGCCTTTCTTTTTGAGGCTGGGAATGTGTTAAAGTGGGGATATAGTTTTGGGAAAATGTGATTTTCACATACACCGGCCGAAGCTCTCCCACGTGTGTGTGTGTGGGGCGGGGGGGGGGGGGTCTCTTGCAGAGTTAAGACCCGATTCTAAAATCGAGAAGGCAGGGATAAAATATCCAATCTGGAACTTGCAGGGAGTGAAGCTTCCCTCCAACCTCTCCACTGTTTGAAGTGCGTGTGTGTGTGTGTGTGTGTGTGTGTGTGTGTGTTTGTTTTTTTAAAATAGCGGACATAATTCAGCTGGAGGAGGTAGGATTTTTCTGCTCTTTGTTTCAAAAGAAATGGACCGACTCTAGCTTGTGCAACTGTCCCTCCCGCGTTTAGTACCTAAAATAAAATAAGCCTCGTTGCTCGCACTCCTGTGCCACTTCTTTGGTCTCGGGGTCCAGGGCTAAGCAAGTATTAATTAGATCATCCGCCGAGGGCCGGCGGAGGGGGATGGGGAGGGGGATGGGGAGGGGGAGGGGAGGCGCGCAGCGGTGCAGACTCGGCCGCCCTGATGTTTGCATCGTGACTGCAACTTGCTGGGTGGACCGAGCGAGTCCTGGGGGAGGTGAGGGAGCAGCTTCTCCTCTGCATTGGGGCGGAGGAGCCCAAGCTGCCAGGCAGCAGCGGACGCCTCCCCCCCACCCCCATCCCCACCCCCACCCCCACCCAGGCGGTGACGGGGGGCGCCAGGGGAAGCGAGGCCCGGGCCGGCAGCCAGGTCCCCTCCCCCTGCGCCCAAGATTTCTAGGGAGAAGTCCCCGAAGCCGTCGCGCTCTCCCCGCCTGCCCACCCCCCTGCAGCCGGGGAGTGGGGATGCGGCGCGGGACCGAGCAGCGCGCGGCGGGGGCAAGGCCCGGAGACGCAGCCCGACTCCCGAGGGCCCGAGTGCGGCGGGGACCGACCCGGCGGGGGCAGGCGCGGCTCCTGGGGATGCTCGCGGCCCGCCGCCCGCCGCCCGCCGCCCCCCGCTCCGCGCCCCAAGCCCGCCCACCCCCGCCGCTGCGGGGGCCCCCTGGCGCGCGGGGCTCGGGCCCTCGCTGCCCCTTTAAGCGTTCCCGAAACTTTCCCCCTGGTATCAGAGGAGCCTCGTCACATCCGTTGGCCGCGGCCGCGGGGCGCGTTCCGAGGGGAGTCGGGCCCCGAGTTTCCCGGGGAAGGGGCGCGGCCCGAGAGCCGCCGGGGCTGCGCAGGGCGCGCCCGGGGCGCCCCGGGGGACCCCGCGCGCCGCGGTGACCTTGGCCGCGGGGGAGGGGCCCGGGCCCTGCGGGGCAGCCGCCGCCCGCCAGAGGGGGCAGCGGCGACCAACTTGCTCAAGTTGGCGGCGCGGGCTGGGGCGGCTCCGGCTCCGGCGCCTCCTCCCGCTCCCCCCGGGCCTCCTCCCGCGGCGCTCCTCCCAGCCGCCGCCGCCCGCCCGGTGCGCGCCCAGCCCTGCCCGCAGCCCCGCGCCGCGCCGCCGAGCCGCCGCCGCCGCCGCCGAGCCGCCGCCGCCGCCGGACGGGACGGGCCCCGCCGGGCCGGGCGCGCCCCCCGGGCCCCGCCGCGGGCATGGGCGCGCAGGCCGGGGCGCTGCTGCTGCTGCCCCTGCTGGCCCAGTGGCTCCTGCGCGCGGCCCCGGCGCCCGCGCCCGCGCCCCTCACGCTGCCCCTCCGCGTGGCCGCGCCCACCCCCGGGCCCGGGACCCCCGCCGCGCCCCGCGCCGACGGCCTGGCGCTCGCCCTGGAGCCCGCGGGCGGCGCCGCCAACTTCTTGGCCATGGTGGACAACCTGCAGGGGGACTCGGGCCGCGGCTACTACCTGGAGATGCTCATCGGAACCCCCCCGCAGAGGGTAGGTAGGCGGGCACCGGCGCGCGCGCCCCGCCGCGCCCCGCGGCTGGCTCCTCCCTGCGGGGCTCCCCCGGGGCTCCCCCGGGGCGCGGGGAGCGGGGAGCGGGGTCGCAGCAGCGTGGGGGGACGCCGAGGGGCCCCGCCGAGGGTGTGCGCGAGTGTTGGAGAACTTGTGGGCCCTCCCCTCCCGCGAGCGGGGAGCGGGCGTTGCGCGCGCTGCTGGGGCTCCCCGGGGCTCGCCCTGGGGCGCGGGCGCTGCCTCGGTGCTGCCTCTGGGTGCTGCGCAGCGGCCCCCGGGCGCCGGGGGTGGGCGCGGGGGCGCGGCGCGCGCGGGGGGCTTGGAGCGCGAGCCCCGCGGGCAGCCCGTGCGCCCAGGCTCCCGGCTCCCGGCTCCCGGCTCCCGGCTGCGGGCGCGGGGGCCGCGCGGCTCTCCTCTCCCGGAGTCGGCTCGTCCGCCCGCCCGGCCCGAGCCCCGGCGTCTGCACACGTGTGCGTGGAATGTACTAAATGCGCTCAGGCTCCCGCAGGAAAAAGCAGGGACCGAGCGAGGCTTCCGGGGACCCAGTGGCCTCCCGGTGACCAAAGGAAAACAAAGCCCAGCAGCTGTCTTGGTATCTTAACCTGATTTCCACTTATTCGCACTTTGTGGAGGAGCAAGAAGCTGATGGCCCCAGGCTCTGGCATCTGAAACAAAATATCAGGAGTCGATTTGGCTTCCCCCTCCTCCTTCCACGCGACCTGATCGAAGCGCGATCTGAAGTCAGGTTTTTCCTATCAATTGAGTACAGCCTCAGGATACCTTAGTTTTTTATTTATTTATTTATTTATTTTTAGCGTTGTCATTTGAGTTTGAATCCAGCTAGGATTCTGCCCTAAATAGAACATACTCATGACTTTGGTGTAAATCTAATTATTCAAGGCTTTCTTAAGAGGAAAGGCGCGCCATGCTAATTCTTTTAAAAAAAGAAACGCTACAGAATAACTTCTATACTTGCTTAATTAGTTTCAAAAGAAAAAAGAAAAGAAAAGAAAAAAGACCTTCGGAAATGTGTTCTGCTCTGAACTTTAGGGCTGGTTGCCTTTCAGCTAAGCCTTGTCCCTGCCTGGCCTTCCAGGGAGAATGATGGGCTGGGAGAGGCAAGGAGTCAGCTGAGCCAGCTTAGCCTGGCCCCAGAGGTGGGCGCTTGGTTAGATCCGCCACGTGGAGCCACGCGCTGGGGGTGAGAGCCTTGTTCCTTGTGCCTTCCCAAGAGTTCACAAGGTTTTGAGGATGAACCTCCTCTGCGGTCCAAGGATGGTCTTTTGGGAACCGGAAATGTGCCTGGAGGGGAAGAGCTCTTGTGAGTTTTTGAGTGGAAGGGAAGTCTTTGTGCAAAAGTAAAGATGTGGGTGGTTGGGTGCTGGGATAAAAGGGGTCCTTGATGTCTGTTTCCCCCCACAGAACAGGGGAAGGGAAGACAAGCCTTGAGAAAAATGCAGGGGAGGGGGGGAGGGTGAGGAGAGAAAAAAAGATTTCTCTTGGGCTCTCAAAAAAAAAAAAAAGCTTTCATAAATATTAGCTTTTCTTTATTAATTAAGCCAGTGACCTTTACTTTATTAGTTTTGTAAGTACGCTCTAGGCCCACCACGGGGCTTGAACTCAGCTCCCGGGGATCGAGAGTCTGTTGCTCTACCCAGGTACCCCAGTGACCTTTACTTTAAAATGATGAAGTTTAATTAACAGGAAACGTATTGGATGCCTCGTGCTTGTATCTTTACCTTGGCCAAGGAAGTAGTTCATTCAAGGTTATTTCACAGTTAAAGATGAGCATGTTTCCAGGGAAGGCTGTTTTTAACAATCCAGATTTAATTTTTACATTTGACGGGGAATGAAATATTCTGTTCCTCCTTCTTGGCCTGATTTAGTAATAAGCTGTTTTATAGCAAAATCCGTGTGTACGATCTTTCCAAATGCCTACTATAAACCATAAAAGGTGTTAGTGACAAGTGCACCGGGATTCATTTCTTCCCTGTCTGCTCCTGAAATGTCTCTGACCACCAGCAGGGTGTCTGCAGCAGGCCCCAGGGTGACTTCTGAACTCTGTACTGAGGTTTCCTGCTCTATTAATGGCCAAGAGTTATGCATTTATTCTCTGCTGATTCTCCTAAGCCTAAAATAAAACATGCTTAGGTGGAGAGAAAACTGAAATTGTAAATTTAGGCATTAAATAACCAAGAATTTTTGGAGAAGTGATAGTCCTAGATGGTGTGGAGGGCTCCCCTCGTGGCAGGCACCATGCTGTGTGCTCCCCATGTGTGCTCTCCTTGGGGATCCTCACAACCACCTCACGGCTCTGATACCCCTTTAGGGGATGGGGAAAGAAGCTTAGAGACGTTGAATGACTGACTCAGGGAACAGTTGGATAAGAAAGAGGGAGCACCAGAAATCCACCCCAGGTAGCTAGACTCCAGAAGCCAAGTTCCAAGTTACCTTTCCATCCTCCTTTTCTTTTGCCTTTATTTAAAATTTTTGAAAGATTTATTTACTTGAAAGAGAGAGATGAGTGGGAAGAGGAGGGAAAAGCAGATTCCCCACTGAGCAGGGAGCCAGGCACTGGGCTCTATCCCAGGACCCTGGGATCATGATCCAAGCTGAAGGCAGATGCTTAACCCACTGAGCCACTCAGGTGCCCCTATTTCTCCCTTAAAATTTTTTTTTTTGGGGGGGGGGCCTTCAACTACCCTGTCCAGCCAGAGGTCCCTGGATCTTCAACCCCAACGTGTCAGGGACATAATGAATGGTTGGATACAGATATGCGTGGAATAGAGAGTGGTCAGTCAGAACCAGAGCCATACAGATCCCTGCTCTCCCATGGGAAAGCCAGCTGTTGGACATGTGCTTGTTTCCCTGGATGCTTTAATCAAGAACTGGGGGTCCGTCGTTCTGCATGACACTGTTGAAGACATCACAGGCATCTGCCCCGAAGCCTGAGCAAGAGCAGGACCACG